CAAAAAATGAGAGTAATGGTAATATATTAGCATTTCTAAAGTTTGAAGATTACCATATTCTAATAAATTCATAGTAATTATGAGATGGATCATAGATTAAACTTCAGAGGACCTTCTAATAGAGTTTTTTTTTTTTTTACTTACATTAGCTGCAGCCACATTTATAATTTTGAATAGACTGGGGATTTCCAGAGATTCAACATTTTCTTACATACTAGGAAATGGTCGGTACACAGTGGTCTTTGTGTTCATTCAAATTTTCGGATTCACCTGCACACATATATTACAAAACGGTACAGAACAGTGTGAAATAGGACGCACACACTCGTTTTACTTAATGGGTTTCAGTTGTATTGTCGCTCCTTCCTCCTTCCTTCCTCTTCTCACTTTAGTTGTTTCTCATCCAGTGCGCTGACAGAGCGTTCAGTGTTTCATTGTTTAATTGCGCAAGCTCAGACTGTGCTTAGCTGTGCCGTTTCCAGAACGCAGTCGCTTATAAATAAACGCTTAGCCTGTTCCAGAGTCCAGCATCTGTTTTGCACGGCGACCCCAATCCTTCTCCGCTTCCCTCTCCTCCCATCTCCCCTCCTCCTCTTTTGTTCCTACTTCTTTTTCTCCATCCCATCCCATCCCCCTCTGCGCTTAAACAGCAATACCAAATGAGTAATTTAAACAGTTGTACTAGAGAACGTTTGAAATGTGTCTATTTTTAAACCACATCCGTTCTCGTCATGTTCCCCCAGGGTCTCAAAGCGGCCGACACCGATCCCACGGCCCCTCCGTATGACTCGCTGCTGGTGTTCGACTACGAGGGCAGCGGCTCCACGGCCGGATCGCTCAGCTCCCTTCACTCCTCCAGCAGCGGAGGCGACCAGGACTATGACTACCTCAACGACTGGGGCCCTCGCTTCCGCAAACTCGCCGACATGTACGGAGGCAACGACGACTAGCTTACGCCATCACCGCAGGACCACAGAAAGAGAAGGAGGATCCGGAGGAGGAGGAAAATTAAAAGAAAAAACATCAAAAAAACAGTGTGGCATTTTTTTTTTATCGCGGGACATGGACAGTGTGCAGAATCAAAACAATGAAGAAACCAATATACCCTAGAGAGACAGAGAATGAAGGCTGAGAAACGAAGAGACAAGAAAGTGGAAGGAAGATCACCATGGCAACAAAACCAGGTCTCTCCGAGGCCCTCTGTTGTAGACGGAGGGGGTCTAATGAAGGAAATCTGCCTAGTTTTGGTTCAGTCCAGGATTTTTTCACCCTAAGTTTGAAGGATCATCAGTACGAAACGTATGAAGGAACGCTTAAAGAACGTTAAATGAATGCTAAGTTACACTTGAATCTCACAGTACAGAAGCACTGGGATATTACGTGCCTTTTTGTACATTTATTTTTTTTTTTTTTACTTTTTCCTTTCTTTTTCGTTCTTTGTTCATTTGATCTGATGATGTTGTTTTTCTGTTCAATGGCTTTGGTGGCTCAGAGATTTGGAGTGTTTTTTTGTCGTGAGCCTGTTTATAACGTTGATGCTTCTACACGCTTCTGTTTGCGTTTCTCACCGTCACGCTGTTCGTTCACATCACGTATGAAAACAAAGACTTTGGAAGAGTGAGAGCGTCTAGACAGAGAGAACAGCTTTGTACAGTATGCTAGAAAATAGATTTCAGTTTCTCGTTTTTGTTGCGTTTTCTATTTTTTTTACATATATATTCACCATTTTTCCACCAAAACGTTAACTTATGCAGCCTGTTGCAAAATGGGAGACGAGCGTTATTATTTGGTAGCAGAACTTTTTGTTTTGTTCATTTATTTTTCTCTCTCTCTCTCTCTGCAGTTTTTTTTAAGTGATTTAGTATTTTGTAAATGAAAACGTTCTGTTTTTTTTTGTTGTTTTTGTTTGGTTTTTTTTCAAATGTCATCTGCCTTAGTCATCCTGGTATTCTTTCATGCCTGGTATTCTTTCATTTTTACTCCACTGTAAATTAAATGGTGTGTACATAGTTTTTGTTTTGTTTCTCCTCTTTTGATGTAGTCTACGAAGAAGAACAGGGCGTGAAGAACTTGTATATGTATAATTTGGACTACAGACAAAAGGATTTTTGCATGTTTTTATCTTTTCCGTATAAAACAGTCTTTCTGAAATTTATTTACACACAAATAAAGAAATGCCCACCTCAATGGAGACTAAAGCGAATAAGTGAGACAGAAGTTTGGTCCAGATACCCGTTGCTTTCATTCCTCCCCTTACGTAACGCGTAACATTCCTTTTTTGTTTCGCCCTTTCGGCCCAGTTAATGACCTTCCATTTGCCCGTTCTCTGATTTCATGGCTTGACGTCCTTCGTCAAGGATTCCGTGTTGACCTTCCGCTTCCTTTGTTCTTCTCTGCTACGTTCTGCATTTCCATTGTCTTCTCCCCCGGGCCACTCTCATGGATCAACTGACGTTCGAGGCCATACTCCTAAATGCACGATCCTTCGGGATCTTCATGTTTGAGCTAAACTGTAAAGGTGGACCGAAGCCCTCATCATAATCGTCTCTGCCTGTTAGAGAACCTTATTGGTGTGTGCGTGTGTGTGTATCACTGGATGCCGTCAGAGGGCCAATTAAAAGAACAGGATGGAAGAACAAGGCCAGTCCACTCATGAGGCTCAGCCATAAGATGATTAACAGCTTTTTAATGAATGATGGCTGTCCTGAGTTCTGTGGGCTCTGTTTGCAATTACTTGTTGATATTATGACCCATTGCAGCCCAAATGACCAATAAAAGTCTAATTTTGGAAATGTTGATTTGTTGGTTTTCTTGCTA